AATTAAAAAATGGGTTACATGTTCTGGATTACACCTCTGTTACCACATAAAGTGTGCCACCAAACACAAGATGGCTAAAATAAGTACAGGAGTGTCACTTCAGCTCCTCCCAAACAATGAGGACAGAAAACTCACACATTAGTAACCGCTGCTAAGGATAACTGATGTATAAAACAGAAAAAATGGTTAGGATGTGAACAGATGCAAATAGGATTTTGTAAGTTTCAAAGCCAGAAGAAGATGATCTACAACAAGAGAAGTGCTTTGCTAGTAACAGCTGAAGAACCAAGTTAAAGACTTCAAACACAGCAACTCAGCTCAAAAAGCTAGCAGGGGAAGCCAAAGAGGTGCTTTCTGGCACTTCATACATATGAGTTCTGTACACCTAAAGGCTACAGAGATTTTTCTGCTAGTCACATAGCATAATATTTGTTAGGATGCTTGGGAGAACATTTTCATGAGCACATGTAAGTCTCAGAAGCATGCACAAATTCACCTGTCCTTAAGAGAATCCAATTAACTTTGCCAGCTTTTCATATCCCTAGATTATAGATTAATTTTGAAGTTGTTTGGTTAAAAAAACCCAACCCCCCCACCACATTTCTTTGCAGCAGTCAGGTCTTAGCAGTTTCAAGATATTATGTGGCACCAGGGCCATTCGGATCTGCTGTGTCTGCACTACTGTCAGAAGCAATGATCCTGCTTCACTCGCTGCTTCTAACCAATTCCTCACGCTGACTCGGGCACTCACTCCTGCAGCAAGGTGGAGCACAAAACTGACCTGCGGGAAAATGAACCTGTTGGGCAAGATAAGCTGATTTAAGAAAAAAATGCATCTTTTCAATCAGGCCTTTGAAGAAAACTTGTCAATCTTTGCCCATTTCAACTATATTCTGAAGGAAAAAAAAAAACACAACAAACCGCCAAAACCCCCAAACCCCCTGGGCTACTCATATCAATTGTTAACATTTCACTCAATTTGTAAATGACTTGATTTATAGTTATAATTCTATGTATAAGGTTAACTTCTGTTTTCTAGAGAACACGGATGGCAAAAACAGGGTTTATCTAAGCATACTATAAAAAAAATATTTACTCAATGTTACAGTTAAAAACCAGTATTTTAAAAAATAAAAATCATACTTTTTTATGAGCTTACTCCTAATACTCCTGAATGACAAGTTCCCACAGCTCTGGTCATCAACAATAAATTCAACTTGAATTAACCTTTTAACTACTGATATATGTAATAAAAACTCCATCAGTTTAACTGCTAACAGGAAAAAAAAAAACCAAACATGAAGAAAACATTCCGATGTAGATACATAAGATATGTATCACAGCTGGTCTTCAACACTTCCTACTTCTCAGCGTTTGGGAAACCCATGTTGTATCTTCAGTAATTTATATTTAAGCCTCTCTAAGTATGCCTGGTTATCAGTACTTGAAATGGTATTTCAGAGAAGATTTCTGTTAATCTGTAGTCATAACTATATTAAATGTAAATGAGCCCAGGTTTTTACTCACATCAAAATCTAAGGCACTTTTAATTTTTTTTTTAATTTTGGCATGGTCCACATTTAATTCAGTTTTCCACTTCTTGTCAGAGAAGCATGCAAAAGAAGTTTAACTTGGTATTTAATGTATTAAAAAAACCCATCCTGTTTTTAAATGTGCTTTTTCCAGGCGTATAACAGAACCATACCTGCCATTTACAGAATTATTTCCTTGTACTGACATTAACAATACAACTGCTTTTTAGATAACCCAGATGTATTCTAGGAACTGCAACTCACTGGAAACTGCTGAGGAGCACCTGCCAAGTGCCTTCAGCTTCAGTCTCTGTCAGGTGTCTGTCACATGAGCAAAGGCAGGCAGGGAGCACCAGGGCACTGGCCAGGCAGCCGCTAACAGGCTGTGCCGGAACCTCCCATCCTGGCAGGTACCACCAGTGATGGCGTGTGACTACAAGTGCATCTATCCCACTGCCAAAACTCAGACAAGGGAGGAAGCAGTTTGCCAAAGGAAGTCAGGAGGCTCTCGGTTCTCCCTGCCCACAAGCACAGGGCCCTCTGGGAAGGGGTCCAGCAAGGGGCAGGCCTGAAGCTGCGTACCTGGTTCTAGTCGGCCATATGTTGGGCAGCTCTGTTTGACATGAGAAGACTCCTGTCTAAAAGAGTTTGTTTTCCATAAATATTCTTATGGCTCAGTGGGTATTTTCCGAATCAATTTGACCAATATAGAACTGTGCTTTCTAGGTGTTCTTAGAGCTTAACAGCAAATCTATAAAAACATTTAATAACTACATCCTCCAAGCTCCTCCATTCTGGCCCTAGGGACACCATTTAAAATGAGTGTGCACATATTTCCACAAATTACAGCCTACAGCTCATCTCCTAAAACCATGTCTGAGCATCTCATTGCGGAATTTTCCAAACCATTTTCAGAGCACATTCCTGTTCTCTAGAAATGATACTATAAGCTAAAAAAAAAAATTAAAAAAAAGACTACATATATTCAGGCATCACCACTGGTTTTGAGTTTACCTCATTTACCTCTCAGTTTTTTTCTGTTCCCACTGAAGAGATCAAATGTTAGATCTACCTTTCTAAAATAGATTTAAACTACCATATTCTAGGCTCCTCAAAAAAACCCAAAACCAACAACAAAAAATCAAAACACCCCAAACCCAAACAACACAACCCACCCAAAATAAAACAAAAAACCCCATCAGACTGTGTAAAGTATAAAATTAAAAAGCACTTTGGCAATTTTTAACAACATAAACCACAAACATTGCCCAAGAAAGATTATTTTTTAAAAAACATTTTCAACTCTTTTGTGTTGCCAGGTAGAGAAAAATCAAAGGCAATGGGGACAAGTGGTGAAATGAGAACTATGATTTAATAGAAAATTAAAACATTGCCATATTCTAATGGAAAGCTGCAATTTGCATATTACTAGAAATAGAATATTTATCAAAGGTAATAGAAACATAAAAAACCCCTAATGACCCCAAATCCCACTACTCTCAAGGTTCGCAATATTTCAATGACCTTGAGCCTGGCCTTGAAATTAGTAAATACCAGCTCTGCAAAAAAGGCATCATTTTCAATCCCTGCACACACTTCAGCTTAAATAATGCTCCACTGGATTTTTCATTTTTTCTTTAAACTAGAGTGCTGTTCCATTGAGATCCTTAATCCAATAATGGAAGCCAGTTTTGCAAATGGTGTTTTCTTCTCTTCCTTCCTCATCCTGCCAATTTTCTTCAAATGCCTCCTCTCTAGCCAGTTAGTTTCTAAACAGTCCAGCACATGCAGTTTAGGAATTAAAGGGTGGGTGGGAGGGGGGAATACAAGCATCAATAAACTAACTGCTTTCCCACAAAGCTAAAAAAACACTAGTCTCAAATGGCTTTTCCTGGTTTAGATGTTAGTCGCTCAGCATTTTTGAGCTGTCACAGGTAAATCACACTCTTTTCCCACCACCCAACAGAAAATACTATCAGAAATTGCAACAGCTCCCCCATCCCCCTTAAACCTTCTGTGTAGCCTTAGGCAGTTCTGAGACAGCGATCTAGGTGCCAGCACTGGGAAGAGTTGAGTTTCATAAGCACAGTGTTACTTTGCCAAGCACTTAGACACGCGCAGCCACAACAGGAAGTATTGGAAAATCTTCTGGAGCAAGACAAAACCACCCTAAATTAGATCCTGCATGATGACTACTCACTAACCAGCCTTACTGTGTTCTTTGCAGAACAGTAATTTAGAATTTAGCAGAAAGCACTCACGGTATATGGGGTATGTGAAAACTAATTACATCCATTTAAAGTTCTACATTATACTAAAAAAGCCGTCAGATCACATTAGCCCGGTACCAAGAGATGATCGGCACATACGAGGCACATCCCACTTCCTACATCCTAATCGGTGCATGGGAAAACAGGCAACCGTTAATTCTGCACGAAGCTTCAACAAACATGTAACACATCTGCAAGAGCGAGTACGACATGCAGAACACTTAAATCATCTAATTGCTGCCTACCCTCGGGTGCAGTATTCTTTTGTTTATAAGTTAAGGACTGCACAGTGTAACAGGAACTGCTCTTTCCCAGCAGCACCCCAACGACGTGGATTTATGGGCAAGTGCCGGTTCAAACTTTCGAGTCCATCGCCACACATCCAGACAAAAATTGCGAGCAGCTTTACACGGCAACAATCTTCAGTCCACTGTGCGACTGCAAAGCGATATGAAACCCGACCATACATCTAGCATCTCCCTCCGGGAATTACTGCCTCCAGATGTTAAGCTTTTAGTTAGCTGCTTGGGGCTTGTTTTTACAAGACCTTGTCCACTTGGGTCAGCCTCACTTTGCCTTTCAGAAAGCAACAGCCATACCCGCCTGCTGACTGACACGACGGCTTGGGTCGGAATTTAGACAAAAACTACAATAAAATAAAAACCTGCCCTGCTCTATGAAAGGGGCTGTTGGCTTAGGGGGGATTTCTTGGCTCGCTGTATCCCCCCCTCCCACGACCGGAATGTCGCAGCCGCCGTGTCCCGCGCGGGAGGGCTGCGGGCACCGCCGGCAGAGCATCTCCCTCCGACGGCAGCGGGAACGGCAGCGCCCGGCGCCGACAGCTCGGCGAGGAGAGGCGGTGCCCAGCCCCCGCCCCGCCGCTGACCGACAGCCCCGCCCCGCGGGGGAAGAGGGGAGCGGGCCCCGGGCCTGCCAATCACGGCGAGCGCCGCCCGGCCCGCCCGGAGCCGCCGTGACCTCCGGGGCTGCGGCGGCCCCGCCCCCTCCTGCCCGCCCCGCCGCGGCCGGGGGGCACTTACCGTCCCGGGACGTGCCCATGAGCTGGTCCAGCATGGCGCGCATCTGGGCCTGCGCCGACATCCTGAGCGCGGGGGGGGCCGGCGCGGCCCGGCCGAGTCACGCCGACAGCGGCCCGCAAGGCCTGAGGCGCGGCGGGCGCTCGGCCCTGCCCCTCGCGTCACGGGCGGGCCCGGGCGGGGCCGCTCCCCCGCCGCCGCGGGGGGAGGGAGGGGAGCGGGCGCTGCCCCCGCCTGGCGCTCCCGGGGGGGGCGGAGCGGGAGTCCCGCCTCGCGCCGGGCCCGGTGCCGCCGGTGCCGCCGCCTCGCGCCCCCGCACGCGCACCCTCCGCGCGCTCCCTCCCGCGCCCGCCACGCGCGCGCGCCGGCGGGAACGGAAACCCACGCGCAGGCGCCCTACGCCTCTCCGTCCGCTCCGCGACGTCAGCGCGGACGGGCCGCGGCGCCCTCCCATTGGCCACGGCCCGCGGTGCGTGGCCGGTGACGCACCGCGTGGCGGGGCGCCCGATTGGGTCGCCGAGCTGGGCCTCTGGGGCGCGCTGATTGGTCAGGGGGGCCCGCGTGGCCGCTGTGACGTCACGGTCTCCGGGCCAGCGGCGCGGGCGGGCCGGGGTGGTGATGGTGGCTGGGGACGGTCCCGGCGGGACACAGTGCCCTGGGGGACACAGTGCCCTGTGGGAGACAGACAGTGCCCTGGGGGACTGCAGCGGGCCCCTGCTCCTCTGCAGCTGCCGGGCGCGGCTGTGGTGATGAACGTCACTGTAATACCCCGCCTTTTGGAGAACCTCCCGTAAAACGGAGGCTTCGCCACGTGCGGCAGCGAATTCAGCTGGCGAGGCGCCGAGATCCAATTTCAAAATTGGATTGTCGTTCTCACGGTTTTTTATGCGTTCCGACGCCCGCACTTTGTGCCTCTCCCTTTGTCAACCGTGGCGTTTCCATCTAGTGCCCAGGACCCATCACGAAGATCAATTCTGATCGTATACCAGCGGGGTCGTGTTCAGCTTGTGAGATTACCTCAGTGCGAGTGACAAAAGGCAACACAAACCACCTGCCCAGTTACCTGTTATTTCACAAGGACTTGCAGAGAAGATGAAGTGCTCTTCTATCACATGTCCAGGGAAAAATTCTCTACCCAGTGCCCCTCAGCTATTTAGAACATGTCCTGGCTTTGCTTTTTCTTTAAAATATAAATTTACTTTTGTTGGTCATTACTTTGGATTGAAGGCGAAGTAAATGGAAGAGATACCAATACTGATTAAAAATTTCTCTTATTTAATACCTTAATATGCTTAGGAGAAATGGAGAAGTTTTAGCTATTACTTGTACCCACACCATACATCCTTTAGGTACTCTTTAAAGAGCATCTATGGCTGGCCAAATTTTAGCATTTCTTCCAGAAGTGATTTCAGTGAGCCTTTTTTTTTTTTTTTTTCCCCTTCTGGAGCAATATACTACAGACTTTGGATGAAGTAAACCTTTAGTCCGTTGGAAAAGTAAATTGGCATGAATGTAGCAGCTGCATTAAGTAACTCAGAACCACCAGTATTGTCACAACCATTTTCAGAGTGTGGTGACATCCCATAACTTAGATCTACTAAGCTGAAAATAGGCTGGTACTTTCCCACCTGTGATATCAATGCTTTTCAAAAAATTCACCATTTAACTTGTGAGACACTGCAACTGGAATTTGGTCTACAGAACCCTACAAGCTGTAGCTCCTACCTCCTTACCTTACCTCAGTAGCCCAAATCTCCCCAAATTTAAGGATCTATTGTCTATGTGCTGTACTGCAGGGATTAAACCATCTCATCATTCTATTTGCGATGTTTTTCTGTCAGAATACTTTGTTTTCCCTGGCAGTAAAAAAAAAAAAAAAAATCAAGTTTTGTTAGCCTTGCTTAAAGCTCCTCCCCATGTAAACAAACCTCCCATTTTTTACCACCGTAGGTCATGGTTGTTACAGATTTCTTACATATCTTACATACAATTCAACACCGAGAAAAGAACAGCAACAATTCAAGCCCCTTTTTCTGAAACTTGCTGTTCCAGATTGCGAGACAAACAAGAAAAGGCAGTGCCTTGTGTGTCCCTGGTGTGACTGGAAGTGGCCAGTTCCCCTCAGCTTTCTGAGACTTGCAGTGTGTGAGGGCAGCACAGAAGGTTGGCAGCCACACGACAACTTCTTGGTGACACTTGAGAAACACGTAATTCATGAAAAAATCACCTCTGTGAATCGCCAGTGCTAGCTCACTGCCATGGAAAAAACTAAGAGAGACGTCTGTGCTACTGCAGTGCTCACCAGAATCCTCGGATGTTCCACAGAAGGGCCCTTTGTTCTTGGGAGGGTAGGAAATTCGACACACAGAGAACGTGCCTGGAAAATGCTGCACTAAACATCAGGCAAATTCTCTCACCTACTGGTTTTGAGGGGGGAACCACGAACCCTTGCAACCCCTTCATTCAAGCTATTCAGCAGTGAAAGCTTTCATGTTTTTCCACTAAAAAACACCTTTCTGTCACCCCGTGGAGGCTGCCCATCGTACCACACACTCACACGGACGAGGGGTCTGGGAAGCCTGATACAAGGAGAGGGAGTTCCCAGTTAAGGCTTTTTCACTCCATAACCTAACAACGAGGGAAAAAAAAACCCTGCTGGAGAATGCAGTCCGTTCCGGTAGCCATAGAACATTTATTGAGGAATAAAGAGTTTACACAGCAGACCCACGTCAGCCTTTCCCCCCCGGCTGCTGGGGCAGCCTGAAGCCCACCAGGCCGGCGACCTCCTCGGGCGAGCGCTCGCCCTTGCCGTGGTACTCGCGGTGCAGGGCCTGGTGCTGGCGGACGCTGCGGAGCAGGCACAGGTAGGTGGCGGCCTGGAAGTGCAGCTCCTGCTGGGCCCGGCACAGCTTCTCGCTGGTCACCTGCGGGGAGCGGCGGTCAGGGCGGCCCCGAGGCCTCGCCGAGCCCCGGGGCTGCTCGGGCAGGGGAAAGGGTGCCCGCGCGTACCCGGTGCGCGCGGAAGGCCGCGAGCACGTGGCGATAGGCGGGGCTGTCGCGATAGTGGCTGCCGGCGGCATGGCGGAGCTCGCGCAGGAGCGCGCGCAGCGTGCGCAGGGGGGCGCCCAGCGCCGCCATCTTCCGCCCTGCGCGCGCGCCCGCCCGCCGGCCAATCGAGCGCCGCGGCCTCGCCCTCGCGCCCCTACAGTGCGCGCTGCCGAGAGCCGAGTGAACGATCACCTCCCGCTCCCCCCGCCGCCATGGCAACCAGCGCAGGGCGAGGGCCGGGGGCCGGGACGGGCCGTGCCCGCACCCCTCTCGCGCTGGGCCAGCGGTTGAGCGGCCCGCCGCCCGCCCATGGCACCGGAGCGGGGTCACCGGGAGACACCCGAGGGACCCATCGCGCTGCGGGAAGCCGAGTTGGTTCGCGGCCGCGCATCTCGCGAGTTTCTGGGGTCTCCGGCTTAAAAGGGTCCACAGGTCTCGCTACAGCCACGGGGGGACGGCCAGCAAGAAGTCCAGGAACCGCACACCCGCGGCAGCAGGCGGCTCGCGGGTATCCGGACAAACGGCGAGGCTGGAGCGAATAAAATAAAAAATAAAAAAACGCACCCACCCCAGATGGGACTCGAACCCACAATCCCTGGCTTAGGAGGCCAATGCCTTATCCATTAGGCCACTGGGGCTGCCGCGGGAGAGACTCCTCTGCGCGCCTAATTGTGTCCTGTCCCCGCCCCCTTTGCCTTTTATGGGCAGCCCTAGTGGCCCTGCCTGGGCCGCGCGGGCCCCTGGGAGCCGGGGCGGGGCTGCTTCACAAGCACGGGCCCTGCCAGGGCAGCGCTCCCACCGGGACCCACCCGCTGGCAGCTTTAAAGCGCTGTTCCTCGCACCATCCCCATCCCCAAAACGGAAAAGCCCCAAGGGACGACCCTTCAAAGGAAACTTTTTTACATCTTTATTTTTGTGAGAAATCACAGAGACAGGACTAATATGTACATTCCTCTTTATTTAATACAGCACAGACACGTGACACATAAAAAAAGAAAAGTACACTCATGAAAAAGCCTGTCGCGGTCAGGGACAGGGAACAGCTACGCCAAATTGAGTAAGGCTCCTACTGCAGAACAGGGGTCTGCCGGCAAGGGTGGATCCCAGAGCAAAGTCTGCTGCCAAAAAAAAAGCTTTGCGCTCCTTTCAGGAAAGCAGAAAAGGGCAAGTCCCTTCCGGAACAGGTGAAGGCAGCATTACCTGCAAGGTGCAGGATACAAACCCCATCATTGTGTTTGGATCAAAACACTGATAAAATGAAATGCTCTCCAGTTATTCTTGCAGAGGGCCAATAGTCCTGACCTCTGAAAGCATTGGACTGCTCAGGGATAGCAAACCTGAGTACCTGGAAGGAGTGAAAACATCAAGTAGTCACACAGAAGAGAGTTAAAATTAGCCTCCCTGATAGAGTTCTGCTACCCACAACTGGAAACGTGCAGGGGAACAAACCAGCTTCCCAACTAACAAAAGACTAACAGCCATTAAACTGACCAGAACAATATACGTATTTGGAACTGACACAGCTTTTGTGGCAGCAGCTTCTTCCTTTTCCTGCCTCAGTTCAGGATGGAGATAAAGCAGGCACCAGTTCCTCTGGCAAAGAGCCTTACACACTTTTAAAAAATTAAAATACAAAAAAGGGAGACAGGTGTTATTTACAAAATCCATGGCTGGTACAGTACATCATTTTTAAGACACACTAAATGCTACAATCTTTCAGGTCCTGAGTTTATTACAAAAAAACCCCAACAACTCAAAACTTGTGTTCAGGTCCAGTTTTATATGGAGAGAGGAAAGAAACCACACATTTAAAACACAGTATCCCTTGAAGTTATTGGAACATACCTCCCTAAAAATTCCAAATGAAAGTGGTGCTAACCACGCAAATGTAGCTGCATTTGGTTGTTCAGGCTTGTTGTCACAAGAGGGGAGCATTTCACGGGGGAGTTTTCCTGGAAAGCTCATCAGGTAAACACAAGGCTGTTGAGATCCTCTCTCCATCACTAAGCCCTATGATCCAAAATGTGCGAGTATTAAAAGGAGGAAGGTGATCTTGTACAAATTTATGAAGGACTGAGTAAAACATCACAGGAATCACCAACTCAAACAGGTTTGCCATCTTGTAGTAACTGGGCATTCCTTTGTTTGAAGCCGAGGAATGCAAAGAATTCTCGCTGTGATTTAACGCTTGTTTATAAAAAAATAAACCTCACCAGCCTTTTGTTCTGAGCTCCCCAGTGAAAGGCAGCAAAACAGTTTCTCAGCCCTTCATTGTCTGGGGGATCATAGCAAGCCAGGTAGAGTTAAGCTGGCTACATCCAAACTTGCTAAAATATTTATATATAAAAGTGACACCAAACAAAGGATATGGAGGCCAAACTGCTGTTGAGGGGATGATTCCTACTGCCATTAGCTGTGCAGGGCATTCTTCATTGAGAGTCTTTTATCAGGCAGAACCTAAGGGACTTGCACCCACACCTGTTTTTCTCAATGAAATATTCTGAACATAGAGATTTTGTACCATCAGAAGTTACCGACCCAGATGCCCTTTTTATTATAAGCACCTGATCTTAAGCTAGAGAATGCCAACATTTTAAGGATTACTCATTAAATGCTTCTAACCCTTAGTAAAAGAAGACTACAAGAGACAAATCACATAACAAGAGTACTAGTTTAACTGCTAAAATATAGTGCTGCTCAGTAGACTTTTGGGGGTAAAAAGTAGCAGTTAATTTTGCCTTTTTTTTTTTTTTTTTAAACAGTAGTCCAAAAATAAAATTTCTCCATCTATTTCCAGTACAGATCTTGAGAACTATGCAAGAACATGGTACTAATTGCTACATGATGGAATCACCGGCAATAAAACACACACTACAGTTCTCATCTCTGAGCTAAATTGTTATTTGTAGTTACATACAACAAGACTAAAAGACCAGTGAGAAATACCTGGGGACTGTGATTTAGCTTTTACTTAGCTGATAATTCCCCATGTTTAGAAGCAACTTCATTTCAGTGAGAAACTAATTTAATTCACTTCTGATGCCGGAAAGAAACCTGGGATGTCTCATTAGTTTCTCCCCAAATCCAATCTGTACATCAAAAAACATTGCTGTGGCTTCTTAAACCAATTCTGAGAGCCGAATATTCTAAGAAACTCTCAGTCTAAAACCTGTCACAAGAGGTGATTTTACCTTCCCTCTAAAAGCAACTTCATGACACTTGACACTACGCATTGCATCAGTGAAAGGGTTTCTTTTTGAAAATACAATTCTTTTTCTTTATGTTAGCAAAAACGTTCTGCAGTACAGACATTCAAAAATATTCCATATTCTTTGGGTAAAATTTCAGTATGTGTTAAGAGGGGCAGCTAGGGAAAGGAATGCATGTAACACTGAAACACATATACTTATCTGCATAGTTGATATTAGTGACTACTAATCAAACTAAGGCTTTATCTGGAAAAAGCTGAGAACACAAGAAAGTTTCTTCCCCCACTCCTCTGGTGAAATCTGCTAAGTTTTAATGTAGCTCTGGCTGCCTCAGCAGCTACACGGTTTGGCCTACGATGGTGGCATCTCCTGACTGGTTTTGGTTGATTCTCCCCTGCTCTTTTTCTCTTGGTACTAGACAGCAGGAAAGATGACTGTCTGTCAATAAAACACTTCTGCACACATTACTAGGAAGAAAAAAAAAACATAAAAAACCTTTTTAGCATTGCACATGATAGGAGTCAAACATCAGTTCATCATGAAGAAAAACTTACTAGTTAATGGTTGTTATATAAGCAGGAAGTGACAGCAGGGGAAGAGATTGAAATACATTTCTAGATACAGAACATGGTGATGGCTGGTTTTTTTTTTTTCTCTCCCCAGAGTTGCTCTGTAGAATTATAGCTGTCAAAAATGGCTACAAAATACACACCTATATCCTTGACTACTGACAAGATCAGCACAGTGTTGTTTATGAGTGTGCAAAAACAGCTGGGGGGAATCTTTGTAACTCCCCAGTTCTGGGCCAGTTCCAGGCCCTACTGATCTCTCAGCATACCTCATAGCAGCAGCAGGGCTTTCTACAGACCCAAAAAGCTATTACAGCAGCAAGGGTTGAAATCAGGTCATAGAAAAAGGATGATGAAGCCACAGTGGAAGTTTCCACGAACAAAACGTTCCTCTACACAACGCTCATCTTTCCAGTGGCCCAGTAGTCATACATTTGGCTGCCTATTTTGGTAGTGATTTATTAAGCAGCACAGACTTTCACAACAGCTGCATTTGTTAGAAAAGACTGCAACACTCAGCCATCATCACCAGCTGTAGATTCCCACAGATCAGCCTAGGATAAAGAGCATGTGTGCCCAAAAGGAATTAAACAGTGACATAGGTGAGTGTGGCAAACTCCACTTAAGTAACTTCACTACTGCATCTAAAGAGATTTAGAAGCACCCTCAACTATCACTCCAACTGGCTGAGCTACCAGCAATAGTCCTATCTTTG